AAACAATGACAGCAACGTGAATGTTACTAAGAAGCCCTGGGGTATGATAATTAACCACACAGCTACTAACCAAAAGGTGGAGGTTTGAACCCACCCAGCGGCTCCATGGAAATATAACCTGGCAATCTGCTCCCATGAAATGACAGCCAAGAAAACCCTCTAGGGTCGTTCTACTCAGTCACACGTGGGGCACCATGAGTCAGAATCGAGGGCATAGCACCTAACAACAGCTCAGATAAAAGTCAGGCATAACAGTCTGGGTATGATGAAAACAAAAACATGAAAGTGACAGCGAGGCCGTTGTGGTGAAGCCTCCTCTCCGTCACTGAGCGTCAGAACTGTTGGTCCGAGATTAAACCGCAAGAAAGAGCACAGTGGACAACAAGGACCGTTCTTACACAGGTAACGCTGGGCTACGGCCGCCTTTGCCGACCACATGCACTGTCAGAAGTGCACTATGGTAGTCGATTTTTTACATGTTACTCTGAAGACAAAAATTAGCATAAAGCACTCATGATGATACCTGGGGGGGGGTGCGATCGGCAAGGACACAAAACCAAGGAAGAACACCCGCATTATCTGCATAAAAATGTGGTACAAATCAAATACACGCCACGCTGCATCCACTCAAAGGATTAAGTTAAAACTCATCATCATATTGGAACGGAAATGGAAAGCTAATAGCATGCACTAGGCTTACACAGAATTAGTATGTAGAGTGCGACGGGACCACGCTGAGGAGGAAGCCACGTCTGCGTTGTACAGACTCAGCAGAAACATAACCCACAAAGGGGCAAAGCTACACGAACCCCCAGCTCCTTGAACACTAAGTGCAGCTGGGTGCCGACGGTCAGTGTCGGGGATGAGAGAAACCTGGTTAAACTGCAAGTCTGAAGAAATACAGCCTCTCTGTGAATATGTGCACTGCACTGAAGTCACCGTTGACTCCGTCAGAAAACACGTGGGTTTCCTTTGTGTCTCTCTTTCAGTGAAGCCACTTTGCCGTCGGACGCCTACGCTGCCGGTGCCCCAACTTGGTTGTGTAAGGAGTGTCTCCCGGTGACTGTATAAACTGTGCCTGGACACATGGCAGCCTCAAGTGTTCTGGGAGCAGTGTGTGTCATTCCTGGAACGGTGTCAAGGCTAAACACACAGGTTTCCAAGAAACCAAAACAATTAAGTTCCCTTAAAAAGCCGCTAACAGCAAAGGGGACAACGTCGGGCTGCTGTTCCCTCTGCCCTAAGATGTCTGCCACGCCACGCTATTGGAAAGTGACCCCTGGATTGAAAGCAGAGCAGGGGGCTTTCTGGGGGTGGGTTGATAGCACCCACTGCATCTCGTCAGAGGGGCCCGGGAGCTCACGTCTCCCAGCTTCAAGTCCTGACTCTCCCACTCCCTGCTGTGTGTCCTTGGGCAGATCACTCACCCACACTGGACCTCATTCTTCTCATCTTAGAGGAAGGGTGAGGGACCGACTTGCTAAGATCACTGTGTGAATCTTGCAATTGTCAGCTGCCACTGAGTCAGCCCTGACCGACTGTCCCCACAGGGTGTTCTTCGCTGACTCCTGGAAGTCAACTCCCAGGCTTGCTTCCTCCTCCATCTTAATCTGGGGCCCTGCTGAAAACTATTCAGCATCCTAGCAGCACGCCAGCCTCATGGACGGACGGGCAGTGGGTGCCCATGAGGGGCACTGGCCAGGATTCGAACCCGGCTCCCCCGCACAGAAGGCGAGGTCTCCACCGGAGCCACCCGAGCCCCTTTTGTGGGCATTCAACACGCTCACCTGGGTGGGAAAGTCTGAACCGAGCCCGGCGTGTGCCAAAGGGGGACAGCGGTCCGTCAGGAACAGGCCACCGGCTTGCAGCACGGGCACCATTTTGTAGGAAAAGACAGGGAGCAAGACGGTGAGGGATGGAACTGGTGTTGCGGGTGGTACCGTGTCCCCAAAAGTCTTGTGTTACAGATCCTGAACCCTGACACCTGTGGATGTCACCTCATAAGGGAACAGGGCTTTCTCTGCCATGTTAGTGAGGTCGTGTCAGCACACGGGATTCCGAAGCCAGACAGCTCGGAGACGAAAAGGAGCGGATGAGGCGGAGGGAGGGAAGGACAGACAGATGGCAAGACAAATGCCACCGGGAGACACAAAAGGAAGCGAGCGACAGAAGCTGCACAGAGTCCAGGACTTCCCCCCAGAACTGACGGAGGAGAGGGCCTTCCCCAGAGCCGGCGCTCTGAATCAGACACCGAGCCTCCCAAAGATGGACACGGTGGCTGCGATGATGGGCTCAAGTATAGCAGGGATCATGGAGCTGGCGCGGGATCGGGCAGTGTTTCGTTCTGCTGTGCATGGGGTCGCTATGAGTCAGAGACAACTCGACGGCACCTAACAACAACAAGCCTCCCAAACGGTGAGGAGACAGGGCTCTGGGGGGGGCAATGGTTAAAGCACCCCACTACCAGTGGTTCAAACTCACTAGCCACTCCAAGGGAGAAAGATGAGACAGTCTGCTCCCATAAAGACTGACAGCCTTGGAAACCCTATGGGGGCAGTTCCACTCTGTTCTCTAGGGGCGCTGTGGGTCAGAATGGATTCCACGGCAGTGGGTGTGGTTTGGCCTTTGCTTCTGTGAAGACTGACAGCCTTGGAGACCCTGTGGTGCAGTTCCACTCTGTCCTCTAGGGGCGCCGCGGGTCAGAATCTAATCCACGGCAATGGGTTAAACTGTGAGAGCATCCATGTCTCTTCAATAAAGCCACCCACTCATCTTTCTGTTACAGCAGCACCAAGAGACTGAGGCAACAGGTGGTCTCCTCTGCTTTGGGTTCCCAGAACTAGAGAGGGTCCGGTTCCCTACCACCTCCTACAGCCTCTGCTTGGCGTTTGGAACCATGGGAGTATCTCTGGCCACTTGCTTGTAAAGATCAACTCTGCAGGAACATTGCACAGAAGTACTAGCTTCCACCCACTGCTGTTGCCTGGGTGATTCTAGGAACGAAGTGAGGAATGGACCCCGGGCTGTGTTCGAAGTTCTCTGAGATGCTGGCATAAACCAAAAAAACCCATCGCTAAGACCATTTCTACTCATAACGCCCCTTGAAGACAGAATGGAACTGCCCCATAGGGTTTCCTAGGCTATCAGTCTTTATAGAAGCTGACTGCCGCATTTTTCTCTGTGCAAACAGCTGATGGGTTAGAACCACCCAGCTTTTGGTTAGCAGCCAAATGCCTTAACCACTGTGCCACCAGGGTTATTCCCCTACAGTCTCAACTGCCCTGGAGTCTTGGCGACTTGCTAAAACTTTGCATCTAACCTTGAGCCAGACCCCTGGGAATACACCACCGTGTTTTTTATTTATCTTGCATTTCCCAAGGTCAACAAAGGACAGGGCACAAAATCTGCATCGGAGGCAGAAAGCTTTCACATTTGAGCTGCCCCTTTAATTTACTGGAAGTTCCAGCGTCTGAATAGGAGGATAATGGCCAAGTCCACATGCATCTTGGCAGGGTGAGGCGTCGCCTGCCGGGAAGGGATGTGAATTCCCACAAAATGAACACACCAAACCCAGGCAGCTCGCTGCCCGCTCAACCTGTGGGACGCCGGTCACACGGTGCCGGCTGGCATTCCTGCTGTGGGATGGAGGGGAGGAGAGGAGACAGACCCAGAGAACCCGCAGCCTGACTCACAGGCGAGTGCCGGTTACGACGGAGGATAAAGGGTTCTGCTCAAGGACAGCAGCTCGGAAAGCACCCCAAATGCCAAGAGAGCAGGAAAGGGCTGCTCCCTGCAAAAGAGACTGATGGGGAATCCCTCCAGACCCGGGAAGAGAACAGGGCCCAGGCGGATCCTCACGGAAGGAAGGTGGACACAGAGCCCTGGTGGGCAGAGGTCAAGTGCTCAGGTGCTAAGCAAGTGGTCACTGGTTCAAACCCACCGGCCACTACACAGGAGAAAATGGGGCGGCCTGCTTTCATAAAGATTGACAGCCCTAGAAGCCATGTGGTGCAGTTCCACTCTGTCCTCTAGGGGCGCTGTGAGTCTGGCTTTGGTTTTATAAAGATGGACAGGTGGCACAGCCAGCTGTCCCGTCACTCTGCCTTCCTTATCTTTGTTCCTTCACAGCATCTCTTCCTTCATCGCGGCCTTGAGACCCCAATCTTAGAAAAATCCATGCTCCAGCAAGGTCTCTTACCCTTGTTCAAACCTTCAAACAGAGAGTTATTTCTCTCTGTTGTCGTTGCCGTCAAGCAGGGTCCAACTAACAGCCAGCCCAGCTGACAGAGTGGAACTGCCCACAGGGTCTCCAAGGCTGTCAATCTTCACAGAAGCAAAGCCCAAACCACACCCACTGCCGTGGAGTCCATTCTGACCCACAGCGCCCCTAGAGGACAGAATGAAACTGCCCACAGGGTCTCCAAGGCTGTCAGTCTTCACAGAAGCAAAGCCCAAGCCACACCCACTGCCGTGGAGTCCATTCTGACCCACAGCGCCCCTAGAGGACAGAGTGGAACTGCCCCACAGGGTCTCCAAGGCTGTCAGTCTTCACAGGAGCAGGTCAGCTGGTCTTTCTCCCACAGAGCTGCTGAGGGGTTTGAACTGCCAACCTTTCATTAGCAGTCAAACACTTCACCGTTGCGTCCCCAGGGCTGCTCAGGTGGAGAACAGCAGAGTGGTAGCGACCACATAGCCTGCCAATTACAAACACAAACTTTACCTGGTTTCTGTGTGCTAAGTACATATGGAACTAAATGACACTTCAGCATCCTTCATATGTCACTACACAGTGACACTGTGCTGTCAGCTGCCACAAAGGGTGGCCATGAATGGAGGACACATATGCAGAGAGACAGACACACATCAGACTACAGCCAAGAAAACCCCAAGGGCCAGTCCTACTCTGACATGGTGCGCAGAGGGAAACGCCTGGAACAACATGCAAATCTGCAAACCGACAACCTGCAGTGTAGCCTGGGGGTTGGCCGCCAGGTGCTCACCTTCCACCAGCTGGTCCAAGCTGGAGACCTTCTTGAGGCCATCGATGGTGTAGATGGTTCTCACTCCCTGAGGCAAATTCACGTTGTCCGACAGAGTCCGCGTCAGGTCCGCCAGCAGGGCCTCGAAGGACCGGAAACGGTCCGGGGAGATGGCATACACGATGCCCTTGAAGTAGCGGTCTCCGTTTCGGTAGAAGCGCACTTTCTTGGCCTTCTTCTCGGAGCTGAGCGTCTGCAGTGTGCGCGTGCGGTAGAAGCTGCAGTGGGCGCTGTGGGTGGGGCTGGGCAGCCCGTTGACCCGCGAGCCGCGGCTGTATCTCTGCGCCTTGTCGCGCTCGTCAAAGTGCTCCAGCTCCATGTCTCTTCCGAAGGACATGACGGCGTCCAAGTGGAACCTGGACCAGAGACAAAAACAGAGATGGATGTACGTTATTTCAAGACCCATGACCCAAAATGCTCCCCTGGAGGGCATCCGGGGGAGTGTCGTTATGACTCATGGACATTTCACATGAGTTATCACGTGGGAGAGAAGGAACAGCTAAGGAGAAAGGGTGTACCCCAGGGGACCCACAGTTTGGTTCTCCACTCTCCAGTGGACTCTACCCACAGCGCCCCTAGAGGACAGAGTGGAACTGCCCACAGCGTCTCCAAGGCTGCAGTCTTTATGGGAGCAAAGCCTAAACCACACCCACTGCTGAGTTGATTCTCACCCACAGCGCCCCTAGAGGACAGAGTGGAACTGCCCCACAGGGTCTCCAAGGCTGTCAATCTTCACAGAAGCAAAGGCCAAACCACACCCACTGCC